CTTGAGATTGTTTCCACTTGACAGCAACAGCATATTTGTAGAAAATTTTTATGACAGGTTTATTGAAGACTACGTACAAAAAGAAATTATTTTATGAAAGACCAGGATGTTCTTTAATAATCAATTCTTTTTTATCTTCTAAAGTGACTGGTCTTTTTTTTGCAATTTATGCACTTTTTTTTACGAATCTGATTGTATGTTATTTTACAGTAAACGACAGACTAGATTCTTTTTACGTATACTCATTGACATGTTATTGAGCGGCTTCGCAACAGAGACCGAAGATGGATTGAACATGTTATGGCGACTGTCGGTGTTGCGATGTTCCACCTTAAAACGATGAATGATACTGTTTGATAAGACAGAACATGAAGCGAAAAGCAGCAAAAGTAAAACTAGTATATTTTTTGCAGACTTATGAAAGAAAAAGAAAACAACTTTTGTCGAAACAGGCATTTCCATGTTTGATAAGCCGCCAGCCAAAACTTTCAATTTTCATCCAGCGATCAACAACTCCTTTTCCCTTCCACCTACTGCGTTTTTCGTGCTGTCACTCCTTTCGCAAAAAGTTTTACAATAGATTAGAAGAATGTTGTTTTCAATTCATATTTTTACCAGCGACTTTTGTCAGAAGTGAAATATTAGAGAAGCAGCTGTAAAGTTGCTAATATATCGGTTACTTTCATGCAAAAAATTCCACATTGAGATAAAAAGGCTTAGGCAAGAACACCTACACATAAAGTTATTACAGCAGGAAATAAGTCATGAATTACATTCTACGCCTACACGCTAAAGCAACAGCACAGAAGACGAAATCATGACGAATTTGTTAAGAACTGTTTAGAAATAAAACAGAATATATAATTTTTCAACCGTCTTTGAGGGCGCTGTCGTCTTTATTGCTAATCAATGCTTATCTTTCTAGTTTTCTTCCGTGTGATTTTTTTGCTAGTCATCTAGTGACAATCTATCGAATTTTTCTCCAATAACCTGTAAAAATCATGTATTAAGCGGCGTTTAGAGGGGCTTACAGTTACAAGCAATATTAGATCCCATACTGTAAACTGCTTTATAAAAATTAAGAATTTTGGTAATGAGATTTTACGGAAAGCAAAAGAGAGACCGCCATCTACATAGAGTAAATGAAAGTTTGCTGATTGAAAAGCAGAAATTAAAAATGCAACACATAAACAGAAAGCATTCCTGAAAAATCAAAAAGTTGTTTTGGTACACTTCAGCTAGAGAATGAAAATTGGAAATTACTTTTGAGAGAGTTGGAAAGTATGCCTATCGAGAAGCTCAATCAATTGCTGTATCTGTGTTCTGTGCTGAATCTGAATTGAACCTTTTTCAAATAACTCATAAAAATAGTTAACTGCATACTCTAAAATTCTCCGTGTAAAGTGTTCTGCCTTATACATCGCATTTTTTTCTATAGAGAGGTATTAGAGGGAAAAAGTTGTCAACATAATGCATTAAGTCGTTCATCGTTCAGATGAATCAGTATGCCAATAAAATGCGGTAAACGATGTGGCCGAAACAGTTGAGAATTTAGTTATGAACGTCTTAGCGAGATAAAACGTACAAGTAAGTTAGTTATTTGTGAGAAACGAAATCTTTCTAAGTTATTGTCTTTTAAAGCATGGAACTCAGTAATGAAAGTAGAAAGAAAAGCTCAGAAAATTTCGGAAATTTTAGCATTACAGAAAGACAAACACAAAATGCTTTGATCAGTATTACCAAGGGATCCCATTGCTATTGCTGTCAAGTCTTTCCTGAACAAATTCTTTCCTTCTGCGCTACTCTAACCGATTTTTAACATTAATTTGAAAATTTTTTTAGGGAACATATCAAAATACTGATTTGAAACTCGTTTTTGTAGGGTGTTTCATAATGTTTTAAAGTACGCAGCAGCATCTCTAACGACGCTTTCTACCGTTTTGCATCTCAGGTCGATCACAAAATCTGAACCCTAGAAATTAACTTTTTACCAGAATGAGACAAAGTTTAAAGAAAGAGAGCAACTGAGAAATGAGAAAATCAGGAAGGTTATGTTTTTGACCTGCAACACCTGCGTGGCAGTGAGTTCTGTTTTTTTTCTAAACTGGAAGTTTGCTTCTTATTACGGTGTGGTCATTCATTATGTAACTTAGAGATTTCCTCAATCTTTTTACTTCTTTTGGATGTATCAAATAAACAACCAGTTTATTAATGTCGTTGAAGCAAAGCCATTAAAATTCTTCCTGCAAAGGCTCTTCTAAGGTGAAACAGATATTTTTGTCGTTTTTCAAACTTTTTGCTGATACGGGAACTGAATTTATGCTTCTTAATTTGAAACACAAAGAAGTTTTAGACTTAATAAAAAGAATATCCCATTAGTTAAAAGACCATATTCTTAAAGGAATTACACGGTATTTCCGTTCTCTTTAAATTTGTTTTTATACCGATGTGCCAACGGTGACCTTAGAAGTCGAGGCAAGTTTTCTACAGTATTCTATTTTAGGAGTTGAGAAGCGCAAAAATGTATTGAATCAGTTGTTTCCAAATTTTTAACGAAGCTTTAGGTTTGGTCGTTTTTAAACGAGCTTTGATAAATAATGGGCTTTCAGAACAAATCGGCCTTTTTTCTCATGCTGCAGTTTCCGTCGTCTTTTAAGTTAACAGGAATGGCACATTAAAGTGAGTTTGCTATTTAATACGGCACTTTGATGGTCGAAATCCGGACAAATTGTGGAAAACATTTTCCCAGAATAAATGGCTCTGAAGCTCTAGTCAGTTTTGCACTTTTTGATAGCAGTCTACTTAATTTCTAAAACTTTCAGCTTCTTCTGGTCAAATCAGTCCCAACTTCAGCTAATCAGGTTCGTTTTTTTTCCTTTTATAATCTTTGAGTATGCCCGCATTGGTAGGCCATGTTG